TTTAAACTAATACCAAAGCATAAGAACAGTGTCTGTCAGACACTGTCTAAGTCTAGCAGAACAAAAATAAGACTACGTTTTTTCTGGTTTTAGCGGTTTGAGTCTTTTGCTAGTTGTTACACCGAAACCGGTACAGATAAAATTAGATGTTTCTTCCACAGAGTAAACAAATGTTATGTGCTAACTCATTGTATCATTTTAAAACCTAAAAAGAAATTTTTTCAGTGTCGGTTTAAACCGAACATCGGTTTTTTTGTGTCGGTTTTTCGGTTTCAAAACCGAAACCGGTGCACACCTACCACCCCCTCACTTTGAAAATCTTTAAAGTGCCCGCTTTGTCGACGCAACGAAAATACCTCGTATGCAATCATCGTCTCACGAATACATAACCATTTTTCTGTGTTTTCTCTCTTACTCGTCCTGTCATATACAACAAAGGATTCGTAAAGTTTGATCCGCAAACCATCTAGTGCGAAACAGGCAAGTTATCCTGACAAAATTGGATATGATTTATGTATATAAAATAATTAGAGAGAAATAAAAATTATTTTACCCATTTATTTCATCGGTTTCTTCTTGCATTTCTTTTGTAGGCTTATTTATTTATACAAAATTTTTCTATCTTTGATCTCCAATTACTGCATTGCGTGTATGTGTGTATGAATGTGATATTTAAAGGATCTTTGTTTTTTTTCTTCATTATTGCCATCATCAAAATCCCATGATGAGAAACACTTCACATTATTAACTAGATTTTTAACTGTAATCATTTAAGAGAGAACAGCAGATTGAATTTTTAAGTAAGAAGCACACAAATTCATATTTCTAATGATGATGAGACTGGAATAATGTCAGTAAAGGAAACGCGATTTTTGTAAGTTTACAGCATTTTTCGGTGAGTAAAAAAAGACAGAATTTCTTCTTTGCTTTGTCACAGAATTGAACCGTCCTTCTGCTGTCAGTTTTAAAGATAAAAGACAAAGATTTCAGATTTAGAAAAGTATTAAACACGTGTTTGTTCCTGTTATAAGCTCACTATAATATACTGGTTACAATAAATCTTAGAATAAAAATGAACTAAAAGAGTAATGCTGAGTGAGATTAGTGTCATTGCTATAAGCAGAAGTAATCTCCATGTAAGATAGCTTTGCCGTGCGTGACTTGCGAAATGTAGCGGCGGTCAGTTTCGTTTTATTTAGCAAATAAATGCAGGTTACATACAAAAAAGACTCGAATCTTCTAACTTTTCTTTAGTTCTAAAGATTTCAGAGGGGTCTTGTATATGTCTCAAAAGAATTAATGCTCAGCAACAATGAATTTTTGTTCCATTTACTACATATTTATTTCTATTTTCTGTTATTTTATTAACGTAGATGTTCATTGATGTGTAAACGCACCTGTATGTAGATATATTTATCAGATAGACGTGTTGGTGGTTTAATTGAAATATCATATTGTACTGCAGTTGCAATAGCTGACGTTTCTCAAAAAAATGATTAAACAAGGGAAATCTTGTATTTTAATTCTTGCGTGACGAGATATACAAAGGTCATCTATTTAGGGAGGGTCTTCTAATATGATAACCCAATTAGAGGATAAGGTAAGTGGATAGGGGAAGTACGAGCGTGAATGTTTACTGCAGGTATGACTGACGTTACTTATTGGAATAACTAACTAACTGAAGAAAATAGCATCAGACATCAGTTTCACATCTCACTACTTCTTTTGAAATGAAATATTCGGTCATCTCTTCCATCGTGTCGAATCAAGGCAAAGAAGAGGGGCGGATAAGATCATTTTTCGCCCTCAATGTTTTTCTTTAAAACAGGCGATTTCTAGGTTACTCAAGATGCTGAAGAAAATGGCCTATGTAGTTTTTTTGAAATGCAAGTATCATCAAAAAGATCTCTGATTTTGGCTGTAATTTTCATTTTTTTTGCTTTAAAAATCTGTTCTAAAATATTTTAAAACATTGCACTGAATAGCAACTATTTCTGAGTAAAAAATTGGAGAAAAAATTCTTTCACTTTTCTGAGGGGTACTCCAGGTCGAAAAAAAATAAATACTGAATTTCAAAAAGCTACATAGGCCATTTTGTTCAGCATCTTGAGTAACCTAGAAATCGCCTGTTTTAAAGAAAAACATTGAGGGCGAAAAATGATCTTATCCGCCCCTCTTCTTTGTCTTGATTCGACACGATGGACGAGATGACCGAATATTTCATTTGACGGAGAAGGACGGTTCAATTCTGTGACAAAGCAAAGAAGAAATTCTGTCTTTTTTTACTCACCGAAAAATGCTGTAAACTTACAAAAATCGTGTTTCCTTTACTGACATCATAACGCACAGTGGGGATTTTCCCATAGAGCAGGCGGACATCTGATTTTTTGAGTTAGAAAATGATTATTTTAGCATAATATGGTCTTACTATGTGTCAGATATTAGCAGAAGTAAAAAAAGTCGAATTCGAAACGAAATTTTTTTAGACAAAAAGTTTCTTAGGGGGACCCTTGCCCTGAATTTTTGTCAAAAAATGTTTTATTTGTAAAACTAACAAACTATACATCATTCGACGTAGTTTTTCACGGTGATTCCGAATATGGTTTTAGGTATTGGAAAAAGTGCTCTTATGGGGGAGAAAAACGCGAATTACCTCGAAAACCCTATGGGTTTTTGTAAAATCCATAACTCGACTTAGAAAAAAAGACGAGATCATCATAAATACACGATAGGCTGAGGAACATTTTCATGTAATTAGAAGGTCTGTTCAGGCTTAGCGCTTTTTAGTGCTGTCACTGCACTGAGGTTGTCTCATGTCGGACCGTAGTAATCTAGACTACTAGACCTTTTTTCGTTTCATACAAGATGCAAAAGGAGTACCTTCTATTATCAGGCGATGCAGTAGGTTGTGCTGATTCCGAATATGTGCTTTGGATAGGGTAATATTGCACGTCTGTACATAGAAATAAGAATCTTTGTAGATGTGTCATATTTGACGGTGTTTTTTGTGAATGTTCGTAAGTTAACTTGCTCATCGAAGGAGTTCATTACTAGTCGATCATTATATACCATTCGATAGTGCTTTTCAAGGACTACATTTACTACTGTTCGAATTCAAAAAAGCTCACTTGTCGATTTTTGCTCAAATTTCCACTTGAATGCCCACTGTGTAACGTTCTCATGACAAGATCATCTTTTTTTGCAGCACCGAAAAAATCACTCTCACGAGAGATAAATAGCATGGTGTCAACTATCTTTAGCCTACGTTTCCTTGTTCACACTCATAGAGTTAAATAAAATGACTAAACAAGCACATGTCCAGACCAGATGTGGATAAAATGGGGCTTTTGAACGTCTCGTCTTATTGCGTAACAGTTTCGTTTCGTGTCGTGAATTTTCTAGTCGTTTCGTGTCATGAATTTTCTAGTCATTTCGTGTGACGAAAATCGTTCTGATTCCATCTTCATTTATCTGTTTAATCCTTATTGCGTCAAAAATACAAAAAAAGGAATAAAAGTCTCTCCGCAACTCTGTAATCAATTGTTCAGCCATGAGCTTTAAACGGTGTACTGAGAAAGAACAAATTTTATCTCGTTTCGTCAAAGTTTTTTCTGAGCAGTCTCATCTCGTCTCGCAAGGCAAGATCGTTTCGTCACCTCTGATCCAACGCATTTACTCGAAGGAATTTATTCCAGTCTCATTATCATTAGAAATATGAATTTGTGTGCTTCTTACTTAAAAATTCAATCTGCTGTTCTGTCTTAAATGATTACAGTTAAAAATCTAGTTAATAATGTGAAGTGTTTCTCATCATGGGATTTTGATGATGGCAATAATGAAGAAAAAAAACAAAGATCCTTTAAATATCACATTCATATATCAAATTATACAAATTTGATAAAGCGGAAGATGTGTAACTATATATTTAATGGTCCTTTTCTACTGAAGTTTTACTTAGAGATTTTTTTATGTGACTTCTCTTAGCTTGAAGAAGACCGATCTGCGGCCGAAGACCTTGAGCGAGCCACAAGGCTTGCCTTTGGACGTGTTCGATGAACTTGTCCGGTGATTGTATGAGAGACCCCGCATAAAGTTTTGTTGTTGTAATTACACACAATGGTATTTTATGACATTTTCTTGCATTACCTCGCAAAATTTTTGGCTCTGCAGAAAACGCATAAAATAGTTGATGTGTGTGATGTTAGTGAGACATGGAGATTTTACTAAACTGCTCCCCCGCCTAGAACAGAAGGCCATGATCTCGAATTTTTGCAATATTTTGGCTTAAATGTCTCACGAAAAATCGACATGGGATATAGTTGACGTTTAAACTTTGGAAACGAACTCCTTAGAGATTCTTGATTTTCGATGTTGTTCTTCATCTGACTAAAGAACAATCGCGATGCTTTTTTTATCAAGACAAAATCCAAGATCAACACTTTTTATCGCTGTCAGCATAGTAAATATTGTGATATTTTTGGAAGTTGCGATTTCTCATGATATATGTTCTAACCTCTCATGTTCATTGTGAATATTACTGTGTGATAGATCATGATTCAATTGTACTTTTTTTAAAGTATGAATGAGATACGGCTTTATTTTCATTTATGCGTTAGATATTTGTCTATATTTGTTTCATCGAATCGAACAAGAAACAAGAAGAAGAAAAAGGAAAAATCTTTTGAATGACAGGAATTAAAATGCGTTAAATGTTAGTTGACACGTTGTTTTTTGATAGAATAAGAACAATAGAATAAAAGTATATTTTTCGCCAACAATCTCCCACATGTAAACCCACCTATCTATATTCCTGTATTTTATTTCTTCTTCGAAAACTAGAAATCACTGAACAAGTAAATTTGTATTTTTAATGTCTCGTTTCAAAATAGTTGTGTCAAAGTTGTCCTGTTCAAAATTATTTTTACTTTTGTTACGGATAGTAAAAAAGCTGAATAAGTCGCTTTTCTCTATTTTAGATTATTACTTATTATAAAAAATTCATGGGTTTAACTTCTACAAAACAGTCAACACTAACAAGTGCAGATTATTCGTTAACATTATCATCGGATTATTATCGAGCACAAGAAACAATTGTGGGTGAATTACATCTTAACATTCGGACAAAATTACGTATCGAAAAAGAAATTCGTATCGATTTAATTGGAGAATTAATTGATAAACGATCAAGACGTACTGGTCAGAAACAATCGTCAGCACAATCCAATAAAAATATATTCTTCACTTATCCTCGTATATTGGTTACATCGCATGAAAATGGTACAGCTCGTGTAATCAAACAGCAACAAATTACTTATCCATTTCGTATTCCATTAGGTATGTCATTACCGCCTACATGTGATTTTAAAGACAATTTTTCGATCAATTATTATCTTGACATAATCCATGATAGGCATTTGTTACCACAAACACACAAACGACTATTAATTGCTCCACCACAACCAAACGTTATTTGTCCACAGCCTGTTCAAGTAAATGGTTCAAATGATTTGAAGATTATCTGTAGTTTGCAAAAAAATTGTTATTCATGCTTGGAATCTGTACCAATTACAGTTCACATTAACAATCCCAAACAAAAACAAATTCTACAAATGACCGCTCAATTAATACAGTTAGTGCAATTAAATATGAATAAACGTGAATATGAAATATTTACAGCATTATTAAATGAAATTCCAGAAAATGATAAAACATCAACAATGACAACAAATTGTGAAATTATTCTACCAACAGATTTAGTTCCAACATTTGTAACAAACGATCAAATTCATCCGGATAATTTGCCAGTTATCAATGTTCAATATGAGTTTAAAATAACTGCTCATATGAAAGGCACATTGGCCACAAACGTTAAACTAACGCTGCCCATTACTATTAATTGAATGCATACGATGGACTAAATAGGAATAATGATCAGTCAAACTTCGTCAGATCGAAACAGTATACACACGCTAAAAACTATTCGTTTTATACTATGAATGATCGTATCAGTCTTTCTTTAACTCTACTACTGACACAACATTCTTCTGCTGTTATGACTCTTTGTTGTAATGTTATGACCAAAGATGTGTGATAATTACTCGTTTGCTGTGCTCCCTGTTTAATCCTCGTTTCTATTTCTACAGTGTAAGATTGTGTTGTATAAAGATGAGATAAGTGTAGAATCATTGGATCACATTAGAAATGTGATACGTAAAATTTTATCCTACTGAGTGATGTAATAGTAAAATGTTGCATGTGACGGTGAACATGTGACTATTCCATCACGTGAAATATGCAACAAATTTCACCTATTCGCCAATGCTCACCACTCAAGAGCTGAATCTGTTTTTCGAATATGATATAATGAAAAATGAATCGCATTGTGACTGTAACACAGCGATAATGAATACATCTATTTGAGGTATAATACCGCCTGCTCGGATGATCAGATCGCGCTACCAAACACGTGCTAAAAACTAGTCTTTTTATACTTATTTTATATAAATGATCGTACCAGTTTTTCTACCACTCTGCTGTTGACACAACATTCTTCTGCTCTTATGACCCTTTGTTGTAATGTTACAGCCAAAGATTTGTGATAATCGTTCGCTCTGCTCCCTGTTTCTCATATTCAATTTCTAGAAGATCAGATGTTTGTCATTGATACAGAACACCCTAGGAAAAGCTTGTCAGTGTAGCTCCTATTGGAGCCAAAATGTGGAACTCCTCTGTAAATGTTAACAAAGTGGTAATCGAAATTAGGCGGTATCAATCTCGTTATTTGCAACGAATTGCGCGGAAAGTTAATTATCAAAATAAAAACAAAAAAAGATTTGTGATTAAAAAAAGTGTCTCTTAATTTTTAAGTAATACTCTATCTTACTTTTAAACTTGGTTATATACTTCTGATATATTTTCCGTATGTTGACATCAAATGGTAAAAAAATAAAAAGAAGAACAACAGTAATACGAAATATTTCGGACGTAATAAGTACACGAAATCTTCAAGACGTTCTACACACGAACAGTACGACACTATGTACACACATTTTAAGGCGTTTTTGCTAGAGAGGGGGAGGAGGGGTAAAAATTTGCCATTTTCACAGGGTTTCGAGTATACAACTGTATCTCCTCAACCTTCGGATCAGTTAGAGGAGTTACACAAACAGTTCACTTTACGGACTTTTTGAATTAGTCTCAAGACGGGCGTCTCGCAATACTGTTTTGAATTGATCAATAGCTGTCTTCAGTTGTCTAATATGTGGTCTATCTGGTATCGTTTCGTTATTTTTGTCACATCTACGAATATATCTACCTTTCTCTCCTCTAAAATTGATGGCGTTAATGAACAAGAGACTATTAGCAATTAACGCATTTTCGTCTTAAGTCAAGGTTTTCTCTTTTCTTCACTACAATTTATTTCCTTTATTCTCACAAAAAAATGACAGTTTTTTTGTACATCATCTATTAATATATCGTCATTGGTTGAAATGACGAGCAGCCGCAGTCGGTAACGCCCAAAGAGGTAGTTTCCTAAATTTATCTGACAATTTTTCTAGTTTTCGCTACACACCCTTCGTTCCGGATCATTACTTTCTACTCTACAGCGTCATAAATATATTTACCAAACAAAACAATAAATGTTAAGTACAACTCAGTATTGTTTTTCCATTATGCACCGAAGTTTCTTATTGTTATTGATTATAATTAGTTCATTTCTTATCTCAATTAGTTATTCGAGATTTGTAGAGCACCCCGATCGGTGGGAGAGAAATGCTGAAGTAGATGAAGAAGACGAACAACTCTCAGTTGAAAACCAAGTAAACGAAACATATTGGAATAAAAATATTACATCAACTATAAATACTCAATCGGTAGATGCTGTGGATTACGAATACTACGATTATTATGATTACCTTCTCGCTTCGTCAAATACTTTTTATAAACAAACCCGTTCTCTTTACATTTTTATAATGGTTTTGATAATATTTATTATAAAGCAATAATCATTAGGCTAAAAACTTTGTTTAGATTTACTATTAGTTATTGCGACAGTTTTCTCACTAAGTGACGGTATCCGATTAAGAAATGCGGTTATGTAATAGAGAAATGTCTAGGAAATTCGACCTGGCTTCATGTACAAAGCTATGAAGCTTGTCGCTCATCTACGAAAAAAACTACAATTTTATTAAACAAATGGAATAAGGATTTCTATTAGTTAGCAAGCAAAATCAAATTTTAGTTGCCGGAGCGCCTATTTAAAATAATAAACATTAAGAAAATCAATGAACACAAATGGAAAATTGGAATCATCTAAACTACGATAATTGGAATTATCTCTACCAGTTATGAGTAACTGGCATAAAGATGACATTAGTAGATAAAAGTTAATCGCGCTAATTTCATCGCATCTTTTTTCACTTTTAGTATTTTGTAAATTTAAAAGTGATTTTCAATATTTTAAGAAAATTCTTAGTTTTCGGCGTAGATCAAGATTAGTCTCGTCGGTCTGTGTAAACGTTTTTAAGAACTCGCTGCTCATTCTCTATTGAGGGTATCCCCCCTCTTTTTCCACCTTGCTGCCAAATGCGGAGCACACGCCCGATTGAGCTCAAATTTACAACAGAGATAGAATATCGAAAAAGAAAATCGATATATTCTGAGATGTTCTTATATGGATTTTCTGGAAAACTCCAGTTTTCATCGGGTCACACTGCGACCCATCGAAAAACTGGTCCGATCGACTTCAAAATTTTACCAGAGAAACTTCAGGCCCATCTCAGGATATAAATTATTTTTTCCGAAAAATATGCTTTCTTTCTCGAGATATACGAAAAATACTGAAAGGCACTGAAAAAATCTGAAAAAAATCTGACTTTTTTTGCGTGATTTTCAGCATTTTTCGTATATCTCGAGAATTAAAGCATATTTTTCGGAAAAAATAATTTATATCCTGAGATAGGGTCTGAAGTATCTGTGGTGGAATTTTGAGGTCGATCGGACCATTTTTTCGATGGGTCGTAATGTGACCCGATGAAAACTGCAGTTTTCCAGAAAACCCATATAAGAACATCTCAGAAAATTCTGGACAAAAATATATCAATTTTCTTTTTCGATATTCTATCACTGTTGTAAATTTGAGCTCAATCGGACGTGTGCTCCGCATTTGACAACAAGGTGAAAAAAGAGGAGGAGGTGTACCCTTAATCAATAAAGAAAAGAATACGAGGATCTTATTTTCTTTTCTTTCCCGGCGCTTCCAAATTCGGTCACAACATATATTATTTCTCTTATCTGATTCTACCCATACAAATACATGGGGATTTGCAGACTAAGTCGGACACAACGTGTTTTGAGCTGAGAATCCTGAACTACTTCTTAGAAAATATTTTATAGAACTATTCAAGAATCAAATCATGTATTTTTTCACGCAAAGAAATTACTTTTTCAAATTACTTTTGCATTCAATTGAAGAAAAGTCCTAAACGCGTTTTTTTCTGATTATCTATAGGTTTTTACAGGATGAGGTCTTTTGTGAGTTGAATGCGGTTTCACAAAAAATGCTGTGGAGAGATCAGAGACGTTTCATTTTGTTCGGAAACATTTGTTCTATACGATGAATTTGTTTGCAAGCCGAATCGGGGAGCCTGATTTTATAGGATTTCGGTTTTTCAGAGATCAGGATTACACGCAATTTTGATGAAATCGTTATACATAGCACATCAGATCGAAAACTCTTCCAGTTATTCAAACCTTTTTTTAGATTTGTTCTAACTTTTATGATCGATAAGACAATGCGAGACTAAGTTGTGTGATCAATTCTTCAACCGCTGTGCATCACTATATTCCAATCAAAAACTACTCTAGAGATATAAACGGATGAAAAATAGGCCTAGTGCAGTGAAGTTTTTCACCATGTATAGCCGAGACTCTGATGAACATTTCTTGTAGCAGAAGTTTATCTCGATTCTGCACTTCAGATAGCGCAGACGTGTAAGGTTCTAAAGTCTCTCGAAATGTTGTGTTTGTGTGTGTGTGATCAAAATATGAAAAAAAACACACACATTCTGACCGGTTTATGTATCTGGATTCCTCCCTAATTGCTTACTCTCACTAATGAAATCACCTTTAATGTTGTTTGATTTTACAAAGCTAATTAGGGACGAATCGAGAGGACACCGTTCTGACCAAATTGACAGGAGAAATAATTCGATCACGAATATATGTCTGTCTAATAATCGCAAGAAAAGAGTAAATGTACTTTTGGTCACCATATTCTTTAGGTACAAATGATCACCAAAAAAAGATACTTTTGATCATCAAATTTTCCAGCATGCATCTCACACTTTTATTTCTCAACAAAGTATAATGTACAACACAAACATATTCATTGAGACTGTAACCAGATGAATAATATTTTTACAGGTTTATTTATATCTACTTAAAAAAATTTAAGGCTGTGTTAACTTTCTTTGAGCGTCCTTTTGCTTTTCGTTTGCCTAATGGTTGAATGCGTGTTTTATCGCTAACTTGATACAAGTGAAATAAA